TCCAGTTAAGAGAGTGTTCTGGTTACTCAAATGCCAGATAACAGACAGACCTTGAAGTCCCCTTTCTCCACAGCTGCCCTCATCCCCGCAAAGTACTTAAGGTACATCAAAGACATCTTCATTGTTTGGACACATGGGAAGACATCTCTAGAGAAATGTCATCAGGACTTTAACAACTTCCACCTCTCCATCAAACTAACTCTGGAATAGTCCACTCAGAAAATTAATTTCCTAGGTACTACAGTGAAAGTTTTCAAATGGATACTTCATCACCATATCATATCAGAAACCAATCAACTGTCACAGCTACCTTCACGCCAACAGCTTTCATCCTAAGCACATCACTAGGTCAGTTGTCCACAGCTAAGTTCTACATTACAACCATATCTGCTCTGATCCCACCAACTTTTCTGACCCCTTTTTACCTATGGGTTTACTGCTTGCTTGTTTGCCTCTCCCACATCCTGCCTCTTCTTGACTTTTATATTCAAATTACTCTTTCCATTTTATACATTGCTTTGTGCACATCTTTTGACAGCATCTGATGAAGTGAGCATGGGATCGTGACAGCTTATGCTATATATACACACATATCTCTGATTTAGTTAATCTATAAGGTACAAATCTACTGTGCCATCTGCTTGAATCTCAATGCCATGGGAAGTTTACAGGATCTCTGCCTCTTTCAGTTTTTCTACGATAGTCCTGTTTTTCCACATTTTCTCAAACAAGGGAAGAACTTCCTTTAAATGAACAAACATCTCACTTATAGTATAAAAGAAAGGCAGAACCAGGTTTCCTGGCATTAAATGAACAGAGATGAATAGGATGTTTTGCCCATTTTCAGTCATTATATTTTCTTCAAATCTTTTATTAAACAAGGAATATGGGCGCCTGCAGTCTTCTAGCATAGGGCAGAAAGCAAACAATATACTATGAGCTGGCAATGTAGAAAAAAGCAAATGTAATCATTATCATTTCTGAAGATAACTCACCATTGGCTAAGGGCCAAGCCTGCTTGGAATATCTTTTGGAGGAATGCAGAGACAAAAGGGAGCAATGATTGGGCTGGGCACAGAACCAGGAGCCAGAACTACTTGGATCCCTAACAAGTGAAGTGTGCACAGCAATAGGTACCTGTCTCACAGGCACGCGGTCGATGAGCTGGGCTTCCCATGGGTAAATGACTCAAGATAAAAGCTGGGTTCTAGCACATGCACAAACAAGTATACACATATGTATGCCTCAGAACATTTTTCACCCTTCTTAGCTTAGGAACCAGGAGGAGATGGGAGCCGCAGTGGAAAGAAGGTAAATTCTCTCCAACTCCCACATCTTGGGCAGTGGTTGTGCTGAGAGTAAGTGGAGCTGCAGGGTATTTCTTGCCCCTTGCGCACTGCAATTGAAGCTCAGCCAGGATCGTGGGAGAAAGGAGAGAGAATCACTGAAAGTATGTGTTGGAAGGGACCTCAGGAGGTCTTCTAGTCCAACCCCCTGCTCAAAGCTGGACCATCCCCAATTACATCATCCCAGCCAAAACTTTGTCTAGCTGGATTTTGAAAACCTCCAAGGATTTCTTTCATTTCAGCTTTTAGGGAGTGGGACCTTCTGGAAAAAAATTCTATCTTTCCATTTTTTAAACCATCCTATAGAGTTTAAAGAACATCCATATAGGATTTAAAAGATATTCAATATCCAGGTGTCTCACTGTGGCTTTCAGAGGCTTGAGCTTGAGTTCCAGGTTGAAATCTACCCCTAAATGACCCTAATTGTAAATGTGTACCTCCTTCTTCACCCTGGGGAGTCAAAGGTGGATGGACGTAATGCATATAAAGTGTCCCCTTGGCTATTGTTGATTACACGAACCAGTGCACTTTAGCCACGTTTACTTGATGGGCCATTCAACTTGGGCAGACCACTGACTTTATAATATAAGTTCTGCAGGATGGGCTTAAATAAGGCATGTGAGAAGGCCAGCACTGCCTGTTAATTCCACCTGTTTTCAGGACATTTTCAAAAGAAATGTTCTTATTTAAATGCATCTTTTGTATACCTACGTATAGATACTGATCTATATATTGGGATTTTCTAGAAAGGGACAGAGACCTATGGAAGCTACAATGCTGTACTATTACCTTTCCTTCCTTTAAGCCCCTTAACAATAGTGGGGAACCACATAGTGCTTGAAGAAGGGAGGGAAGGAAGGAAGGAAAAGAGATGCATGTCTATGTACACAAGCATGTGTTTGAAAAGAGTATTCTCTTGAGTCCCTTCACCAGGAAATGAAGCTATTGTATGCTCCAAATCCCAGTAAGGAAATACTGAAAGAACATCAGTTCACTTAATATTTACAAATCCCAGCGTGACAGGGAACTCTCACCCCAGAACTGGAGGGGGGCAGGCCTTTTACAGGGAGAGTCTGTGTGCCTCAGATGTGGGGAACTGTGCACAGAGACAACATAGAATGTGGAGACAATTTCCACGGTTACCAGCAGCCCTGGTATTTAATGCATTTATTTATCTGCCCTGTAGCAGATGCATCAAGCCCAGCAAAGCAGAACCACCCAATGAGAGAATCCTGGGTGTGCACAGTGTGATGGGGCAAACTGGCCAGGAGGTGAGGGGCTTAGGAGTATAAGATGGCTAGCCTCAAGCCAGTGATCAGTTGAACCCTGACTGTGAAAGGGAGAGGACTTTCCAGGTGCACTGCTGTGGAGCCAGGAGGAGACAGTAAGGAGAGCCCTACTATACAGGCAGAGAAGCCTCATGTTCTTTTGCTCTGCCTTACCTTTACCCCAGGGTGGGGATAATTCTGTGTTCCACTTGATTTTGTGAATACCCAGAGGAACTGCATCTTCCTTTGTTTTCCACAATGGTAGAGATAACTAAAACCAGAGGATGGGATGTGGCTAATAAGAAAGGACTGGAGACCGTGCAGGGGGTTCCTGGGAGGCATTCTTGGTTATGTGCCCAAAGGGATGGAGACAGGGGCAGGTTGAAGCTGAGGGGGCCAGAGCCTGCATCCTGAAGGCAAGAGAGGGGCATGCTAAGGGCCAAGGGGGCCAGAGCTTGAGCCTTGACAGAGCAAAGCATGTCTGAGGAGAGGCTGGGACTGAGAAGCCAGGCCAGAGCCAGTGGTCTAAGGCTTAGGAGTCCCCAGCTAGAGCAAGTAGTGGGCCAAAGCAAAGGGGGCTGAAACCTGTACAAGCTGGTATCTGGGTTGAGGGTAAAATCTGTAAGGCATGAGTCTGGCTATTGGGACAGTGGAAACCACAAATCCAGCATGTGGTAGCCTAAGACACCAGTAGGACCAGAAGGACCACAACTTAATGCCCAAGAGGCAAGTTAGTAGGGGACTAGTTTCACTCTGGGGACCTTGAGGCAGCCTCTCAAACATCAAGACATGGCAGGAAAATAGCAAGGGAAGACTCTCTCAGGAGCCAGGCTAGGGCATCAGAGGGTGTCACAGCCACCATCAGGGCATGGGTCCTGTTAGGCTACTGGTGGGTGTAACTAAAGCTGGGTGACTTGGGAGGTGTGGAAAAATAACAGCTGCCATAGCAGCCAATCAGCCATACCACTGGCACCAGCACTAACAACCAGAGCCACTGAGCTGTCTGGCTACATCTCTACTCCCCATCAGACAAAAGCCCTAAAATGAGGTCAACCAGGCTTTGTGATGCACACTGAAAACACAGCCTTCCAAGCTGAGGAATGGTGAGGTGTGCAGATAAACACGTTGAAGTGATTTCATTTCGTCATAACCTCTGCTTCCAGGATCTCCTGGACCGAAGTATCCTAGATCGTTCAGGAAGAACCAGTCCTTTTGTTAAACCAGCCAAGGAAGACAAACTACAGCCAGCAAAACATTGAGGTAATAGGCAGTCTCAAATTCTCTCTCATCATATTGTGCGGGCCCTCTCCCGATCCCATCCTCGTCGCCATGTGCGGGCCGGGAGCGATCCGGGCCCTTTTTGTGCTCTGCACGGGCTGTGGCCAGCAGCCCGGGCACGCGGGGTTGGAGAGAACGGGCGGCACGCTAGAATTAGGCACGGACGCTTAATGGTTGATTTAAAGATTATTTACTTACACCGAAGATGGTCACGGTGTAGGCTGGACAGTTTTCCAGGCACAGCTCTGATTAAATTCTCGTTTGAGGACTACGACAAGCTCGCTCTCTCCCACGGAGTTGTTGAAGCTCCGTGGGTCCGTTTATTCACTCACACGAAATTTGCTAGGCTCCGTGGGTTCGTTTATTCACTCACAATTCACTCACATGAAGTTTGCTAGGCTCCGTGGGTCCTTTTGTGCACAGGGAAGAGGGATACGTCGAGGATTGCGCTTGGTGACGGGGAGAGGCTAGAGGCTGATCAGACCCCTGTTGCCTGCTTTAAATGCGCTGGGTCCAATAGGCTCCGCAGCGCTTAGAGATCTTCACAAGACGTGAAGTCTCCTCCCCCTGGTGTTCGTGGAGTCCTCCAACTTGGGCGGAAACCACTCAAGCTTTTTATACGGCTAGCAAGCCAATCACTAGCCGCCA